CGTCTAGATACGTTGGACGACTTGAATCCGAAGAAAACTCGAGCGATGTTATTAATCCAGACAAAGCGACTAGATGACGGTTATGTAGGAGAAGAGTGGATATACACGACGCTACTACATCGCGGACAGGCTCGCACTTATCACCTATTGCGTTGACCAGTTGTGAACTGATATAAGCTTGTACTTGCGGGTGCAAAGTCCCGTACATGAGACGAATGTTGCTCTTTAGGAGGAAGCCAGCCGCCTGCTGCGTGGCTGTTACTTCTCCAATTGAGGCTCTTGGCTTTGATATCTTGAAAACGATATCCGGTTTGGTCAAAATGTAAACAAGATAGTTGTTGAAATCGCGTTGGGAGGCGTATTGCTGCAGCTGCGCAAATAGATGGCTTTGAACTGTGGAGTGTGCACTAGTAGAGTGCGTTAGCAAGTCAACCAGGGAGCTCAGCAACTGCTGCGACGGCTCCCACTGGTTGTAGGTATTCGCGAAATGCTCATCAGTTCCATTGACGGATGATGGGGGGCCATCTTCATTTCCATTGCCATTGTGCGTTGCGGCAGGATGTGACACAGACATCGACAAAGTATCGGGTGCGGCAGCCAAAGCAAGATGCGGGGTACCCGACATGGCCACAAATGCCATACCCAGCCTGTCACCCGAGACCCAGGGAAAGAATGTACCAGCGTTCGCAGTCGACACAGTTAAGAAAGCCGCGTTTACACAATTTAAGAACCCAAGCAAATGCGTTTGACACTCCAGTATACGGCGGGGGAGGGGGGTATTCGAAATCGGGAGTCAAATGCTTTTGCACTTGGGGCGAGGGATGTGCGCGCTTTTCGTCAGAAACACGACTGCACAACGCGCAGATTCAAACTCTGTAGTTGCAAATGAACAGTTGCCTGTTGCGCGGCAGACTGATCGAGAGAGGGCAGCGCGCGGAAAGTGAGCGCCTTCGGCAACGATTGTGCGGTGCTGGCAGACGAGAGTACCGCAAAGGCAGGGGTGGGTGGTGCGGCGACAACAAAATAACAATGGCGGTGGCGGTGTAGTTGCTGTATTTGATGGGCGGTAAAGGTTGTTGGGCGGGCGACTGTGGGGCGGAGTAGGGCGGAGTAGGGCGGGGGAAGAGAGCAGGGAGTCGGCGAGTAGTGGAATGGTGCAAACGGTCGCCCACAAGCGTGTTTGAAGAATGCCGCCCTGTCGTCGCCGGCGCAATTTTCGTGATTTGTAGTCGAAAGAGCTGGGCCGCACACGAGACGAGTGAGACACCCTGTCCCGACTCTGTGTGACTCCACCCAGCCTCCTCACTTCCACCGTATACACGTGTGAGAAAGCTAGGCAGCGAAATCAGATCACACGAAGCGATCGGATCAACACACGTTGAGCTACAAGTACTTTGCTATACAGAGCGTGGAGGTCAAACGAGTCTCCAAAACAGAAAACGTACTGTACAGTGTGCTCTCTCGTTCTCGAGAACTAATATGATGGCGCTGTAATGCATCCTATCTCTGACGGTTCTGACGAGAAAGAAGAAAAACACTCCACACAGCGTTCCGAAGACAGTGGTATCAGACTGCCCTTCGTCTCCGTGCTCCTCGTTCCACATCCCACCCTACCTGCCCCCCTCTGTCCTTCCCTCCCCTCACGACTCTGCAATCATTTTCCTTTCACGTCACCCGGCGAGATCCGCACAAGCACGTTTCGCTTCGCTTTCGAACTACTCCACTTCATTCTCTTCAAAGCCTGATTGTTATTTCGCGCAATACCTAGCCAAGTCTTGCTCGGGTCCACTACTTCGTCTCACCCGCTCAGGTCTCCCTGCCATTAACTCGTAGTATCTCGGATCAGCACCCTCGTGCTCCCGCCCGCCGCACATGTCGTCATATGCTTACCTTTTCAAGTATATCATCATCGGCGACACCGGTGTTGGAAAGAGTTGCCTTCTGCTGTAAGCTTCCTATCCTGTCTTCCTACGTTCAATCTGAATATGAAATGCTTCTACAATGTTTTCAAGTCCAAGCACAGAAAGTGGTTACTAACGTTCTCTGCGGGCAACATTGAGTTTTCTACTTTTCTTTCGCAAACGGTACAAAATGCTAGGCAATTTACAGATCGACGATTCACACCAATACATGATTTGACAATCGGTGTCGAGTTCGGTGCTCGTATTATTACCGTTGAGGACAAACAGTTGAAGCTTCAGATATGGGACACGGCGGGCCAGGAGTCCTTTCGCAGTATCACCCGCAGTTACTACCGCGGTGCAGCAGGCGCTTTGCTAGTATACGATATCACCCGCAAAGAGACCTTTGAGCATATTCTTTCATGGCTTCAAGACGCTCGGGTCCATTCGAATTCAGACATGTCAATTATTCTGGTGGGGAACAAGGCCGACCTTGAACACCGAAGGCAAGTACCGAAGGAGAGCGGCGAAGCTTTTGCAAAGGAGCACGGCCTGTTGTTTTTGGAAACTAGTGCGAAGAACAATCTTAACGTTGAGGAGGCTTTTCAAACCACGGCATCCAGTATTTATCAAAAGGTTAAGGCAGGTGATCTCGATCTTTCGAGTGAGCGTCACGGCGTAAAAGTTGGCGCCTCTACGAATGCAATTAGTTTGTTGGATGACGCGTCGACGGTGACTAAAGCTGGCTGCTGTTGACCCTTGCATGCTCCAACATGACATCCGTATGCTTTCTGCTCATCACCGCATGAGACGTACCTGTCTGCGGGAGGCAGAACTGGTTCTTCGTGGAGTTAATACCTTGGATATCGAAATCCCTACTTCTATTATAAATTGATGAGGGCAGCATGTGCCCCCTGCTGACAGACAGCCTCTTCAGTTCAGCAAGACGAAGTCCTTCTTGCGTCCCCAGCAAAGATGTGCAAATTCTTTTGCCGCCCGATGGCTGCCCTGGCGAAGACTGTTGTGTATCTCGGAATCTCATCACGAGTATCAAAATGTGCATCGGCCTTTGATTCTCCTAATACTCTATAATAGCGAATATACATCGCGCCACCTAGCGCACCGCCTAAACACAACCACCACTTCACAACTTGTAAAAACCTCCTAAGAGCACGTCCCTTCCTAAAGATCTCTAAGACTGCTGGTGTGCGGTAAACTCTACCACCTAAGGAATTGTGGGCACCAAATTTTCCTTCCAGAATCATTATCCGTTGGGTCGAAGGCACATCATCGCCAGGAAATTTGGTACAAAGCCGTCGACGAAGTTGCTCTCATCCTAATTTGTTTCCTTTCTCTCCTCGCCTTGACAATATGAAGACTCCACTGAGATTAATTGCAACGCCTGCGGCGAAACATGCTCGTCTGGAGTTGTTCAGCGAAGCGTACTCATCGAAAAAAATGCCTCCCCCAATCATGGAACAAAGACTCCAAAGCACTTCAATTGCTGGTACAATGAATAGGATGTCATGACTGGCCAACAACTTGTTTAACGTGTATATCCAAAAACATACCAGAGAAAGCCATGTCGTTATAAGAGCCAGAAACTGTGGCTTCAATGCGTTATGAAATCCATCAGTTAAAGCAAGTAGACTCGCTTTCGAAAGAAACACTGTATTCACACTCAACATCGCTGCAGCCGCTGCGTGACAAAGACCGGCATATGCGACTAGTGTTGGGCTAGCCAGCTCAGAGCCACCTGATTTTCTTATCCGGTCTCGTAGCCTCGCTCGTATCAACATTAGTAGCGAAGCCAACGCAATGATGGTGACAAGATAAATGCGAAATTCAGTTCGTTTGAAAAGCTCAGATATTTCCCTAATTGTCAGCCCGTGTTGCTCAGCATGATTCGCACTTGCAACAGCCAGAATGTTCCCCACAGCTATCAAGAACATGGGCAGTACGTCCCGCATAGCCATCCGTTCCCCGAGGACATACGTAGCACATACGGCATTGGCGATGAGAGCCATAGAACTAAGAGGCGCTATAAGACTTTGGGCTGCATACCTTAAGCCAGCAGTATTGAGTAATCCCCCCAAAGAATTAACTCCGTATCCACAAAACCAAAGAATGGTTGCATGAAAAGGTGATGAGCGTCGGTTGAATGGCGTGTCCCGTAATGAGGCGACGGAAACTGTGCCGCGCTTAATGTGGGAAAGCTTAATGAGGTTCATGCCTGCGCCGCATAGCGTGTATCCGCCCATAGCGAGAAAAAGTCCGAAGGACCACGGAGCCACCCCGACTGACACTCTGGAAAAAGCTTTCGCCACATCCGCGATGGCCGGCTGCATCTCAGTTTCTTCCATTGCAAAACCAAACGACATGCCCAAGGGCCCGCCGCTCGCGGCAGTCTCCGCGTTACGGTGACAAGCAAACAAGCGAGACCACGACGGCTGGTACACAGAATGACCGTGGCTCCGCAATGTAGGAACCGCGGAGCAAGACACACCAAGGAAGCAGCGGGGTTACTTTGCATCAAACTCCCGGTCAGCAGTTTAGGATTGAGGGGTA